CCCCAAAACCCCAAAACCCCAAAACCCCAAAACCCCTTCTTTAAAACCCTTGGTTGATCGAAATTCAAAATTTAGATATACTTTATGATGACTGTCATCAAATTAAAAGAGATCTTATGCAAGGACCTACTTGAATTCTTTAGTTTTACCTCCTTCGATTCCTTTGATTTTGTCCAAGCAAAGAGAAACTCCTTTCCTAAGAATTAATAAAACCCTTACTCTTCTGTTTAGAAAATTTAACATTGTCTAAATGATTAAAGAGCTTCATTAGAGGAACATTTTTGATTCTTTCTCAATAAACTTTTGCTGTATTTCCAACTGTATCTTTTGCTTCATAGTCACAGCCGGCTTCGATGAGACTTTCAGCAATTTGGATTATTTTCAAGTGATTATCACAGTAAATTTTCCTATCATTTTTATGAAGGAAACATCCCATACAAGTTCCACATGTATTGTTGTACTTCTCATTCATAGCGAGTAAGAATAGTGAGTTCCAACCTACAGAGTTCGCCTTGGTAACATCAGCTCCTTCTGTGATGAAAAAGTCTACAGCTCTGGGGACTTGTTGATAGGCACTACTAATCAGAATTTACCTTACCTGTACATTATCCCTGACCAACCAGAATCATTGATGTCATCATTGATGGCTGAAGATGCCTCTTGCTCCTTCACTTTGATAGTCTTTTTCTCTTGTAGAAGCTTTTCGTACAATTTTTCTAGCTTCTTGAAGTCAGTGATAAATCTCCACTAAGCTTGAGTGTAAGGGCTTACAGTAATGGCTTCTTCGATTGTCTCTCTGATATCATTCTATAGAATTATTAGAGTCCTTACTTCAAGTTTGAGGAGCATGAACTTATCAAAGGTTGAAATCTGGTGCTCAGGTATTGTTTTAGAGCTATATGGGAAAGTCAGCTTTTTATCATAATTGAAGAACCTCAGATGAGAAAGCTCTTATAGAGCAAGAGCTCTAGGCATCAAGTTCCTTAGTAAGACTTGCTGTCATAATGACATTAGTAAGACTCTTACGAAGCTGGCTTTGGAGTCTTGACTTCTTCTTTCACTCCTTTCTTAGGCTGAACAGTCTTTCTATTTTGAATAGGTGGATATGGAGACTTTTGAGTCGAACTCATGTGAGTTTTTGGCTTTTGAGATATCTTTTTATCTTGAGCTCTTGTATCTACTAAAGTTTAACATCATCTCATTCCATAAAAATTTACCAAGCCTGAGTCTTACTCATATGTATGACATTTTGTCCAGTTTTGTTAAATCTGTCCATTATCTACAACAGGTTAAAACTTAGCAAGTTTCAAAAGAATATCTTCAAATTTCTGAGAATAGAACGTAACAGCTAATTAGCTTCAAAATAAAATTCCTTCCAAAAAATACTAAATTTTTTATATTATGTTCTTATTTAACCACCACTGTTTTTGATAAAATTCAACTCAAACATCTCGAATTTCAATGATCCGAAAACTTCAGTCTACATCGCTCTAATCCACACTCTTTTATTACAAGATACAATTTCAATAAATTATATAAACTTAGGGGTTTTGGGGTTTTGGGGTTTTGGGGTTTTGGGG